AATACATAAGAGAGCGTAACGGTCACTAAGATTGTCACTTTCCACTATGTACTTCCATTTTCGGCTCAAGCCACACAACTGGCAAGGCCTGTCAAAGCTGTCAAAGGTTGCCAACTGCCGCCAGCAAAAAGGCGGTGAAGGCCACACACGGTCGCACTCAATCGTAGTCAATTGCAGTCAATTGAATACAGTCAATTCCCTCTGTCTGGGATTGACACTGCCTGTCGTGTCTCCAAGCGTTTACAATTGGTTGGATTGGAAATGCCAACGCGGCACAGGTGACAGTGATTGTAGCGACCCCGCGCCTACGAGCGCTTCATCTTCCACCTTTTCCCCCTCTTCGAGTTCTACGTACTCGTAGAGTAGGCCTCACTAGTCCCGAAAGGTCGGTAGAAACAAATAAACAATTCCCTGGGTTCGATACTTTTTTGGAGGGTAGGAATAGTAAAACTCGCTAGGGGTAATCACGACTTCCTAATTAGGAAGTCAGCCGACCTTCGTTTACAGCTGACCTCCCCAGATCCGCTCGGCGCCCAGGAACTGGTTACACCGGGCTCGCACCCCCACCTACTACCCCCCTCTGCAGTGTACCCAATGCTCTATACCAGCCATTCGAAACTACCAAGATAAAAATAGTGAAACGGCGGCGGCGCTGCGGCGAAAAGGCCAAAAAAAATAGCAACCTACTTCACCACCAAAAGTCAGTCCACCACCCACATTTCTCGATATCAACTTTACACCAATCGATCTTATAGGCGTCCACTAGCGCTCCGAAGCGGGGAGCTACATAAAGAAAATTGACTTGTAACATTATGTTGTGTGCTGATGTTGTCGGCTCGTTGCGGTCGGTCACCCTCAACACCATGTTTGGACATCGCGAAAAAATTACCGCGGTTGGTTAGGCTTCATTTACATCTGGTGGCCTTTTTACCTAGCCCGTACATAACTGGCAAACTAGAGCGTGAGCTTCGTTGTGGAACCGGCACTTGCCCCACCTAAGCGCTAAGATGCGAAGCGCGGGCGAGATAAGGCCGCGTCAACCCGCTGATAAGCAACGAAATTCCAAGTGACACCGGCACAGCAGATCCAACGAGACGCTGCCAAAGTTAATACCTGAGAAGTACCTCTCTCTAAGCGATATATATACGGTGATCTTTGTTACTCTTCAGTACCGTATTGACGTCATTTTGGCCACGGCAAAACTTCGGTTAGCCAGTGACCCTCCCGTTTTAGGCATAGATTAGTCCGTACTCTGGCCTTCTGGCCTGTAGGTTCGTTCCAGATGGACCCTAACGAACTCCAGTAACTTCGTCAACACACAAAGTTTACCAGACAATAGTACCCAGGTCAATGCCCACGCCGATACCTACGTTAATTAGTCGCCTGTTACCTACTTATTGTTGGAAAGATGTCTATACCGCCATTTCTCTCTCACGAGTCGAGTATCGGTCCATCCAGCGGCGAGGATTTTTACAACCCCAAGCTCCGCCAGTTTCCTGAACCCGCCCGTCTTTGCTGGATGAAGTTTCTAGGAGCAGGCGAAGACGGCTTTGTCATCCAGGCAAAGGCCGACACTTCCCTGTTTGCCGTCAAATTCGTCCGTATTTCACCTGTGGCATCCCGCCCTGCTACTTCTAACGCGCAAGCAGTTTTACCACAGCAAGCCACCACCTACCCGTCCTTTTCCCTGCCATTCTCTACCCCGCCCCGGACGCTACTGGGCCCTGGAGAGAGAGTGCCGGACCGCATCACTTCTCGCTATTATCCAGACGACTAGCCGACGAAGAGTCGAATCTGGTCGCCCAGTGGTACACATAAATCCGGAGCCCAAGACGGACAGCGACGCTATCGCGAACCTCAAGATCTTTTCCAGCGAAAGTTTCGGCAACGAGAATACACATTCCGACCGCCGTGAGCCATTCACACTCAACGTACATATCAACCAGTGTTTTGGATGGCTGGAATTACCCCGCCAAGCTGTGTTACACCTTCTGAACCTCCAGCGACCCAAGGATTATGTCCTGGTCCCACAGTTACAACGTGCATATGGCCTGGATGACAGTGAGCGTTGCTTCGCGGTCGTCTACGAATATGTCCCCGAGGGAGACTTGGACCCCGAAATAGTACAGAGACACCTTGACTTTTTCTACTTGGCTGGCTTTGCCTTGATGCCGTTTAGAGAAGAGAATTGGCGTGGGAACGTTCTTGTTGATCATTCCGATTTGATTCCTCCTCAGAGCTTACTCTGGTGGAAGCCTCACTACGGAAGAATGGAGATAGGATGGTACGTTGAGGAGCTGCGGAAATGGTCTGCATGATAAATTAGGAATAGGACAGTAAGCTTAGAAGATAAAAGCTTCAACTCATCACGTCCAGCAGATTCTACTTAAGACTAGGTGTATATCTATAGCCATTTACTTCTTGTGTCTCTTGTCCGATCCGCTGGGCCCTTCTGAGGGTCTCTTGCCCTCCCGGGAATCCCCCGATCCGGCCACCTCCGGCACCCACCTTAAGCCTTGCAATCGTCCGTACTGTGCCGTGTCCGCGTCGTAGATTGTCACATTGTCGTCCACGAATATTCGGCGGGTAACCATTTTACCCTGCTCGTCCGATTCCTCCACGTCGTAGTAGGGCTGCTGGCGTTGGAGATCGATGTCGAGCGTCTGCACCGATGCCCTTGTCAGGAATTTCTCGGGCCTGCCTGTCTCTGAAGTGAAGGCCGGGCCTCGTTGTCCGGTCGGATTAGGGTGCTCTAGGTTGTGAGGAATCTTGGACGGAATTCCCGTGGTATTGTGTACGAAGAGGTCGGCATTGGAGTCACACCACCAACACGAATCGAAGGCCGGGTAAGCAGGCAGTAAAGAGCGTGCACCATAGCCGGCCATCATAGCAAGGTAGAACAATGCCAAACGGATGCTAAGTTGAGATTTGTGTCCACTGTTTTCCCATGGGATTGTCTGGTATTCAACGTGATACGCTTCGACGCCATTGTCTGGAGGGGCATACAACGAATTGTTGAGGGATGTGCCCTGCAGTGCACTTGACAAGTGAGACACGTCGGTCTCTGTAGAGGACATTCGACTGTGACCTAGGGTAGAACACGGCTGCCGCTTAGGTCGGTCAATCGCCTGTCCCGGGCCGGTTAACTCCACAGAGACACGGAGCACTACGAGTTCAGCATCCGTGATCAGCCAGCCGTAACGCACACCCACTTCCTTCATATAATACAGGATCTGCCGAACAGGATCCTTCCACGCGTAATGGGCGGCCGTCTTGTACATGCTGCTTCGCCACTTCATGGCGAGTTTGGTATCGCCAGGGAGCAAATTTTTGTAGAGTTTACTGCCCTGCGTCTGCGAGTCGGAGCATAAAGACCAGTCTGGCTTGAAGAGACGTGTGGTATCCCCTCCGTAATAGCATCGCCCACCGCGTCCCACGTCGAGGTCGTTGTTCTTATCCATGCCCAGGACATGACACGCGTGTCCCAGAGCTGTGTTGACATGAGGCAGCAGGAACTTGCTGAGATAGTGTTCCAGCGAGTCTTCGTCAAACACCCGTGTGTCCCAGGACGAAGGATCCGCGCTCCCAGCTACACCCGAGGCCCATTCGGCGTCCACAATGGGCTGGTATCTCTTATACAGGTCCTGAGCGTTGAATCCGCCCCATCTAGTCCATGTATCGACATCGGGCCAGTATGTCGATGTGGTGTTCGTTCCGGGTTTAGTGCGGGTAGCATCGATGGCGGGACATTCTCCACTGAGAGTATCAAGGATGCTCGCCTTTGAAGGCATGTCGGGGAATTTGCTTTATGTTCGCTGGGTGCCCAGAGCAGGGCGATACAGTTCTTGGCCGGTGAGAAAAGCAGAGGCAGTTAAAAGCAGGTTCGGATCCGGTGTTATAGACGAGGAGCTTGAACAAATGGTGCCTGACAGGCACTTTGGGTTGACATGCTGCTGTTGCAGTTCACCAATCACAGCTGAAGGTGCAGACCATTGGATGGGGTGGGACTTGTGGACGTTGCGACTGGATATATTGGGCGGCAGATACTGCTACTCTCCTGCCTTGGTTCTGTTGTTCATCACTCTAGGACCCGGGTTCACCCAACATGTGAATCGCAGTACTTTGCGGCACCTCTCAACTGTGGTATACAATGAAGACACCGCGAATCCCTGTTGCCTTTTCTCCCCTTTGCTCACCAATACCCCGCCGACTGATACAAACAAAACCAATTGGTAGGCAAGCCGGCGGCGTCGATGATGTCGGCAGTTTTCATTATCGGTGTTGTCTCATGGGAACGTTGCCGCGTTCCTATCGTGGGGGCTGGGATGGGTGGTCTGCTGGGGTTGGTGGTGTCGGGCGTTAAGTGTGGTCTGGGGCTGTCGCCGACCGCGGACCGAACGAAGCTGTGGTGGGCGTAACAATGGGGGCGAGGTTTGACTATGGGTGTGTCGACTCGTGAGGGATTACCGGGGGGTGAATTGTAACTGAGGGAGGCTATCCCGGCGGCGAGCTCATCCAGGGGTGGTGGCGTTGGTGTGTAGTGACGTCGGTCTGTCCCTATCTGGGCGGTTAGCACTGAGTCTCCCATCTCAAACATGTACAAAGCAGCAGAATGAGCGACAAACCTCGAATACACTGGCCTTCTGCGCGATCTAAGACAGGATGGCACGGTTGCCACTACCATGGTGTGCCGTGATGCTCGATGACAGACGGCGACAGCTCGCTAATACCCCCTCTCCTAGCCTAAGGTCTCCAAAGGTCGTATACACGATGCGCTTCCGTGTCCTCCCCTATTCATAGTATATGCATTTGCAACGTCGAGCGGCGACGATTGTTTCTAGGAACGCGAAGAGGTCCGGTTAGACGCTCCTCCCGACGCTGGAGTCGTTTGACTGGGGGGGTTTCCTCGCAGAAACTTCGGCCGACTCCTTTTCCGGGGGGTCGCCGCAGCACGCGGCGGCAGCATAACCAGGTCTGTTGCTTCCTCCTGTGAACAAAACGGGCCGTTGGCGCAGTGGTAGCGCATCCACGTCTTGTTCTGGTAGGTGATTCTCGGATTCTCTACCAGAAGTGTGCTGGGGAAGGCTGTGGGTTCGGCTCTCACACGGTCTGACTTTTCGCTTTTTGCTGACACTTTTTGTGTGCGTAGGGCTTCCGGCGTCGCACCCTAGGCTGTACAAAGGGAACTTTTTTTTGGCTGCGATCTTAACAGTCGGGCCAGTGGCGCAACGGTAGCGCAACGGTAGCGCAACGGTGGCACGTTCGTCGTGTACTTATCAATGTGGCATGCGCCCTTTCGAAAGGCGCAGTGAGTGACCCAGGACCGCCTTATCGAGAACAGTTGGGATCGAAGGCCGAGAGAGGTGCTTGCTAGCCGGTTCCAGGGACGCGAGCGCGGCCGGTTCGAAGGTGTACTGGCGCCATACTCCGTCCCAATGGCAGCGGTAGTTTGTCGCTGTGACCATGCGACACGTCACTGCGGCGCCTAGCCGAACCGTTATCGGAGGCCTGGGGCAGGGTCTGACTGTCGATCAGATACCAGCGCCATACTCCCATGGCCAACATGACCGAGCGTCGCATCACGGAGGTGATCGAGTCACCATACGGTCGATCTGATACGTCGTCCTGGATCGGCAAGGTATATGCGGCTACTGGCGACCGGCGCGATACCGGAGTCGGCGATGGCGATACCGGTACAGCGCGCCACAGTCCGCTGCGGCTTCGCCAGGATCGTAGAAGTACAATACCCTTTGTATGGCAGCGATAGGGAAGGTTGCTTGTGCTGGTTGCCGACTGTTTCCGACTGCTAGACCAGTATAACCTTAGTTCTAGCGTGGCCGTTCGCCGACGCCCCAGAATGGCAAAAATTGGCTCCATCCGGCTGAAGAGCAGCAGGCCGAGGCGGAGCGCCGCGACACACGACACGTATCTGACGTCCCAGCTCGTCATTCAGGCTAAGTAGCTGGTCGGGGGTCGGAGGCGCGGGTAGTTGTTTCGAAATCGTCGATGGAGAAGTCGTGCGGTCGAAAGATTGAAGAGTCAAGAGACTGACCTAAAGATTAAGTAAGCTGGGTGACTAACTGTGATGTTAGCGATGGGAGGAAAGAGGACGGGGTAGCGAAGGAAGAAAGGACCCGATGACGGTGATCAGGCCAGGGGCACTCACTAAAGTATCCATACTGCTGCCGGAGTCGCCCTCATGGGAACGGTGCCACTTACTCCGTGTTAGGGGTTTGGTCCGGGACCGAGCTTGTTGTCCGGGCCTTGGACTCTCCAGTCGGTTCGAATGGCAAGCCTGTAACTGCGGGCGTCTACCCCAGCCGCCTTACAGTATCACCATTATGGGAGGGTGGTGAAGGTGATAAGAGTATGTCGGCTCGCGAGGCATGTCGAGGGCTGAACGGAGTCTTCGAGCTTGTCGAATACGATGGAGGTGCACAGGCGGGTGCAGGCGTACAACAGAGCACCATCCTCTTCTGTGGCTAGTTGCTGTTAAAGGCGGAACGGAGGCGTAGCGCGACGGTTGCCGCTCGGGTTCAAGGCCGTGGAGAAGATAGGAATCGTATTGAGGAACTCGAAGCGAAAGGCTGTAGGGGCATTGGGTGCTTGGAGCAAGGGAGCGATTGACTCAAGGTTCCACGATCGTGAGCTGCTTATCATGGCTTTATGGTCCGTGCGGAGTTTTCCGCCCAGCCACTTCAAACCGTTCTAACTTCGGGACCAAAGCTTGGCGTAAACGGCGAGACAACCCCTAAAACGAGTAGCGCGTCACCCACAGCCGGCTATCCTCCGTCGAGTACCGCTGTCACCCTCGTCATGACGCTGCCCCTCGGCGCATAAGTGGTCTTTGACCACCTCTTCGTCTTAAGGAGCACCTTCCTTCCCGCATCGCCTGCTGAATACATTGGCTGTCGCGACCCTGGAAATCATTGCTCAACCTCTTCCAATAATTCCACACCAGTAATGCGATCAAAGTTATCACCTCTGTTAAGGTGGGTTTCAGTACACGTTTCATAACTAATTTGTCTAGGCTCTGCGCTGTACAGGTCTTTCGTCAGCGACCGAGAGCCGTGGGACCCTCCGCAACTTCCTCGTCGTCCCCCTCATCCATTGCAGCAGCCGCCGCGGCCGCTACATCGTCAACACCATCGCCACCACCACCCCGCAGCAGCCTCAACAACATCCGCTTGTGGGTTTCCTGGTGCTTGAGGTTGACGGGGAGCTCCGCGCCACGTCGTGGATGGAACACCCAGTGGAAGCCTTCATCGCCGGTTGGGAACATGAGAGGGTAAGCCAACGGAAGATATGCGGGGCTATGCGGGTAGATGGTGCGGAAACGCGAGACCGCCCCTACATCTGATCCTTAGATTAACTACTTCTTGGCTAAGGGCTAAGAAAACACGAATACAGGGGTCCAATCTTTTCATCCTCCATCCTACCCTTCCCTATCTATCACCCAGTCCCTATGCCTGGCACCATCCAAGCCCTCTGCAGTTCCGAGTCGCGTTCCAACCCTTCCATGTTACACATCTTTGGTCACTAAACATATCCTGACCATCAAACCTCACCAACTTCACTTTCTCGGGCTGTACCTTCGGTATCAGTATCATCATCTTGACTTGACGACCTAAACGTGCAATCCCGACCCTCGGCGATACAGTTGTTGCATTTGCCGCCACAGAAATCCGCTCTCGTTGATGTTGCGCAGTACGAAAACGGGAGCACCAACTCGTCAGCCGGTCCCTGGTTGTTGATATCAATGCAATGCTGGCACCACTCGCCGACCAGGTTACCCGCCTTGTCACGGCTAGCCACTAGTAGCGCGTCAAGCACCCTCTGCTCGACGGGCTCCCTGGTCGCCAGCTTCGTTAGGAGTCGCGCATAGAAGCTCGCCTTAAGGTAAATTGTGGCGACGGGGGGGATGGCCAGGAGCGCTTGCACGGCCGGGTACTCACTGTGTAAGAACGACCGATCGATGAGGGGCGAGATGACGTGCTCACAGCCGCTGACCTGTTCCTTACACTCGGCCATGAGGCACACAGGCGTAGGTATCTCTACGTCGCAGGTGCTGGCCATGTCTTTGTAAACACAGTTGCCGCAGACTGGCACCCCCTGGTTAGGGCTGGTGGTACACGCCATGATGAAGTTGTCGATCGGGTCTTCCTGGGCGCAGCAAGTGCAGACAGCGATCGCCCGGAAACAAGCAGTAGTACCGGACACCAAAGCTGACACGATGCCACTCTCAACATCCGGAAAGGGCGTCAGCATCCACTCGGCAAACGCAGGGTCGCCAAGCTCGCAGTCCTGCATTGGCATTGTCGTGAGCTGGGTTTCCTGGTGCCAATCGGTATTTCCCGACGCGAGCCACCAACGAAAGGCGGGCTCCTTCGCACAAATTTTACCCCGGAGTTTCACCCGGTCGCGGCCCGTAGTACGAAGGGCGAATACTTCGGGGTGGTGGATGACGAGGTCCACAAAGCTTCCCGACGTAGAGAGTCGGGTGACTCGGCTGTAGCGACGAGCCAGGTAGCGAAACTAGCGCACCATGACATCACCGGAATACTCGATATTGTCGTCTTCATAAGGCAGCGGCTTGGTTGATGAGACCTCAACTTGTGTCGATAGCTCTGCGAGTTTGACGATGTGTTCCGGGTGGCGAATGCCGCCCTCGGGGGTTGGATCCATTGTCTGTCCTTTGACTGCACGACAAGGCAGGTAGGTTAGCAACTGGCTATGGCAGACGCTTGTGAGACGGTTTGTGTCGGTTTACCTTGTGGAAAAAAGAGCGGCTCTTTCGTGGGCCTGCTTTGAGGCGCGAGTGCGGCAAGGCGACGGGGCGCGCAAGTGGCAGCAGTTCAAGGAAGGAAAGCTGGTGACAGGAAATTGTAGATGCGCAAGTCGCCGCGGTTTGAGAGGTGAAGGCTGGCTAAGATAGAGCCGGGGCGACAGGAAGTTGTAGATGGCGTAAGTTCAGCGATTCGCGCGAGGAAGAGAAGAAAAGCTGGTGCAGGAAATTGTAGGTGCGCAAGTTCAGCGATTCGCGCGAGGAAGGAAAGAAAGGCTGGTGCAGGAAATTGTAGGTGCGCAAGTTGGCGGTTCGCGAGGCGAAAGCTGGCCAAGATAGAGCCCGGGCGATAGGAAGTTGTAGATGGCGTAAGTTCAGCGATTCGCGAGGAGGTAACAGTATTGTCAAGCCGTTCCGATGCCCAAAGAAGTGCGAGAAGGCAAGTTACCCACCCAGCGAAAGCTGGGTGGTCGCAAGGAACGGCGTCGTGGCCCACAATATCGGGCGGTCGGGCATCGGTCGTCCGGTGCTAGGGTCACACGCCACCCACGGCCTTTGATTAGGCACACTGACCTGAGCTTGACGTTTGCCAGCTTTTCCTGCGCTCGCGCCCCCGTCATTGATTTGGCCGCAACATCAACAACTTCGCCTCCAAGTTTTCGCTTCTAAGCTTCGCCTCTAAAGGTACGCCAAAGACAGGATCTTTCTCTCCCCTACATAACCCGCTACTATTCGTGTTGCTAACGCGACTTGTGGTTCTTCTAAAAGTCGCGCTGGCTTCCCTAGTAGATTTCCCGCGTCACGAATCTAGCCATCGTGACCGCCGTCGCCCCTTCCCTCTGCTTGCCACCCATGCCTGCCACGGCCTTACCCGGCCCCCGGCGCCTGATGACATTGGAGTCGGCGCTGAACAAAGACGAAAACATCATCAGCGAAGTAGCGTATGCCGCGGCCGCCGTGGACCTCTCCAAGACTCTCTGGGACAACAGACACACAATTTCCGGGCTCGTCAAGCACCATCTGAGGCTCAGCGCTGCTTACTGCTGCGCCGTTGCCCCGCCCAAGAGATGGATACAGGGCGGCTTCAACATCTGCATTCCGGTCCAGGTGTCTTCGGGGTCGCGGCGCTATTCCCATACTTCCTCTGCTCCAGCAGACGAGCAGACGCTTATTTTCCGCTGCGTCATGCCACACAAGATCGCCCAGGGGGCCGTAGATGAGAAGCTGAGCTGCGAGGTTGGCACTCACGCGTGGATGCAAAATCAGTGTCCTGAAGTGCGAATACCACACCTGTATGGCTTCGGCTTTTCCGACCACTGCCACGTAC